GGGCTGGATGTCCTGAAGTCTGGCCTTAGAAACTCTGAAAATAATACAGATGCTGAGGCATAAATATCTGTTGGAAATGGGTATTTATCTCTGAATTATAGAAAAAAACAGCTTGGAGAGAATGGGGGTGGGGAAGTTTTAACTCAGATATAGATTATCAAGTATTGAAAATATTTAACCTTGATTTACAGAATGTAAACTTATTTTCCATGCAGTGTCTTAATATTCAAAATGACAAGCTGGTTGAGACTAACACGGTTCCAAGTCCAGAAACCAAACAGGCAGACATTGACAACAGTTATCATTTCTACTCATCGATCCCTACACTGGAAAAAGAAGTAGGTAACTGCAGTCCACCTTTTCTCAATGCTTTTGAGGATTCCTTCAGCAGCATCCTCACCACAGAAGACCCCAGCCAACTGACAGTGAACTCATTAAATTCAAATGCCACCATAAACACAGATTTTGGTGATGAATTTTATTCTGCTTTCGTAGAGGAGCCCAGTATCAACAACAGCATGTCTTCCTCAGCTACTTTCAGCCAGTCACTCTCTGAACTTCTCTATGGGCCCATTGATGTTTCTGATCTATCACTTTGTAAAGCCTTCAATCCTGAAAGCACAGCAGAATTCAATGATTCTGACTCTGGCATTTCACCGAACACAAGCCCCAGCATGGCATCACCAGAACACTCAGTGGAATCTTCTGGCTATGGAGACACACCACTTGGCTTCAGTGATTCTGAAATGGAAGAGACAGATAGTGCCCCTGGCAGTGTCAAACACAGTGGTCCTAAAACACAGCCAGTTCAGACTTCTGGGGAGACAGTTCACCCCCCGTCACCATCTCGGGGGCACAGTGCCCCAGTAAGTGATGCCCAGTGTGAAAACACACAAAAGAAAGAATTGCCTGTAAGTCCTGGTCATCGCAAAACCCCATTCACAAAAGATAAACATTCAAGCCGCTTGGAGGCTCATCTCACAAGAGATGAGCTAAGGGCGAAAGCTCTCCATATCCCATTCCCTGTAGAAAAAATAATTAACCTCCCTGTTGATGACTTCAATGAAATGATGTCCAAGGAACAATTCAATGAGGCTCAACTTGCATTAATTCGAGATATACGTAGGAGGGGTAAGAATAAAGTGGCTGCTCAGAATTGCAGAAAAAGAAAACTGGAAAATATAGTGGAACTGGAACAAGATTTGGATCATTTAAAAGATGAAAAAGAAAAATTGCTCAAAGAAAAAGGAGAAAATGACAGAAACCTCCATCTACTAAAAAAACAACTCAGCACCTTATATCTAGAAGTCTTCAGCATGCTCCGAGATGAAGACGGAAAACCTTACTCTCCTAGTGAATACTCCCTGCAGCAGACGAGAGATGGCAATGTATTCCTTGTTCCCAAGAGTAAGAGGCCAGATGTTAAGAAAACCTAGATATGGAAAGATCTGACCTTTTCTGAGCTAGTGTTTTTGTTTTGTTTTGTTTTGTACTATTATATATACTAAAAGCTCCTACTGTGATGTGAAATGCGGAAAAATACTTTATAATTCTATGCAAAATTATAGTCAAAACTAGAAAATAATAAACTTTAAAAGCATTAAACTGTTCTCAGTATGCAGAAATCAGTTTCACTTTAACTGCAAACTTAATTTCTTAGAACACCATTTGGGCTAGTTTCTGTATACCTGTAAATACTACAAAAACTTATTTATACTGTTCTTATCTCATTTGTTACATTCATAGATTTATATGTTTTGACATCTGGCTAAAAGCAAATTGTTGTAAAACTAACCACTATGTACTTTTTTAATAAATATCATATGAACAAAAAAATGGCATTTTTTATTGTTTAGCTCTGGCAAAAATAAAACTGTTTAGTTGAAAAGCTGGTACTAATAAAGGAATACGATTGTTAAATTATTTGTAATTCATTTGCATTTATTCACAGTATTTTCAATGACACTTACGTGGTCACATTTAGGTGTTTTTCTTTTTCAGAATGCTTTCATTGAAAATATGCTTTTTAAAAAAATCCTTATCTGAGGATATTTTTCCATTAAATATATTTTTTTGGTTTGTTTTATTTATATTGGTTTTGGGTTGGTTTGTTTTTTGTTTTTTGGGGGGTTTTTTGGAGAAAGGGAAAGACAGAAACAAATCATTTTTCTGTATTTCTAGAACCAGAAGGAGCTTGCAATGGGGGTACATGCCCTTGACCAGAATCAAACCTGGGACCCTACAGTCCACAGGCCCAAGCTCTATCCACTGAGCCAAACGGCGAAAATAATGCATTTTATACTAAACTTCTGGTGCTAGAAATATAGAAAAATAAAGTATCAAGAAGCTCTTTTATCATTTCAACATCAGGTATCTCAACCCAGTGAAGTGTTCTACCTTGACATGAAAACTGTTCAGAAACCCATCTTCCTGGAACTACTGGGGAAAGACAGCAAATGTACTACGCTGTGCAAGAGGATTGGGAAGACCAGTAAAAAAGCACTGCAATTTGAAATAGGGTAAAACCTCATTGGGATTGCATAGGAAACCCATTCTGTTTGAGTAAAAATACTTCAGACAGGACACAAAGTCCAAAGGCTCTGAACCCTGTTTAAAAAACACCCACAAGGACCATATGGCTGAAAATGGGGGTTGTGGGGAGAGAAAGAGGTGAGTGGGTAGAGGAGTGAACGTGGCAGAGCTCTCTTAAGCCTTCATAAGGACTTTGGCTTTTACCCAGCAAAGTGGGGAGGTGTCAAGTAAGATAACATCAGATTTTTAAGTCTCCCTGCCTGTTATTGAGAATATTCTAGAGCAGCGGTTGCCAACCTTTTGGACCTCACAGCCAACTGGCTGGCGACCGCTGCTTCAAAGGTTTCCTTAAACCAGCAGTTGCCAACTTTTCGGACCTCACGGACCACCAGTGATCCGCAGACCACTGGTTGACGACCGCTAGCTGGTCTACAGGGTAAAGGTGGGGAGCAAGGCGGCCAATGGGGAGGCTTTGCAGTAATCACATGGAATATGGCGTCTTGGGGTGACAGTGAGGGCACTGGATTTTGTTTCAAAGGTGAAACTAAATGGGTTTTGACAATGGATATGGGATGAAGGTGCAGTCAAGGACTTGAACACCTGTAAGAACTGAGATCCCCAGAGATAGCCAAGACTAGTTATAGAAAGATCTAGGTAAGAAAAAATTTCACTTAAAATCAGTTTCATCTCACATATTGAGATTAAACGTAAAAAATCAAGGCCCCTCAAAATCTGCTGCTGAATAAACCACTCACAGCATTGATCCACTATTTCCTCGCCTAATCAAATATCTGTCTTGTTTGGTTTTGTTTTAAAGTATGGAAATTTAGATTCACTTGAGGATTAGGCATGTTTAGAATAAACACTACGTGCAAATTATTCAGAACCCTAATCATTGGAGGCAATACAGTGCAGAGGTCCATAGGCTCAAGCCAGATAGCCTGGGCTTGCTACCACCATTCTAGAATGACCTCCAGTAACTCAGAGCAATCGGGCTCGTTTCCTTATCTGTAAAGTGAGCATAACACTGAGTTACTACACAAAAAGCACTATCTACACACTATAAATGGGCATTTTCTCATTTTCTTTAGCCTTACATTAGGATGCCTTTTGGTTGCAAGTGAAAGAAACTCAAGTCAAATTAACTTGAGAAGTTGACTGATGACTGGTAAGCTAATTGAAAACAACTTAATGTGAAGATTCTGTTGAGCTTCCTTGTGTGGTCAAGAATTTCTTCCTGGCCATAGCCGGTTTGGCTCAGGGGACAGAGCATTGACCTGTGTGGACTGAAGGGTCCCAGGTTCCCTTCTGGTCAAGGGCACATGCTCAGGTTGCAGGCCTGATCCCCAGTAGGGGGTGTGCAGGAGGCAGCCAATCAATGATACTCTCATTGATGTTTCTCTACCTCTCTGAAATCAGTAAAAATTAAAAATAAACTTCCTCTTATAATGGTGGTGATAACTTTACCAACCTTGGGGAAAAAAGTTTACTTTGAACTACTAAACATACTGTGTATTTGAAATGAAACCTTTTAAATCCTGGCACACCTGTTTGTGCTTCACTTTATTGCACTTCAGATATTTTACAAATTGAAGGCAAGACTCTCCACCCCCAAAGATTACAGCTCACTTTATTGCATGGTGTGGAACAAATCCACAATCTGAGGTCTGTGTAAAACAAATCCTAACTTACTGACAAAAAACAAAAAAAGCCAAGTTTTCATCTCTTGATCTGTATTTGAAATATGAGAGCTTTGTATGCTGATTGTTTGGCTTATCATTGTTTTGTTTTTTTTAGCTGATCTTAGAGGTTTGTTGTTCCCTTCATCCATGTATTCACTGGTTTATTCTCGTACAAGGCAGATTGAACCTGAAGCCTTAGCATATTGGGACGATGCTCTAACCAACTAAGCTACCTGGCCAGGGCTGAACAAACATTTTATTAGAAACTTTAATTGCTCGACGCTGCATTTGGTATATTAAAAAAAAAAAAAAATGCTTTCTCAAGCCCATGCTTTTAAGGGAGAGGTTGGCTGCTCAAATGTGTTTTATAGTATTTCCCATACCCGTACTTTCGCTTTTAAGCCTCCAACATATACAATTCTCATCCCTATTGGCCTACTTAGGCCAATTTCACTTGCTTTTTATTTTTTAATGTTTTCAGAACTGGAAATATTTTAATGCCATAAAAACTTTAATCACTGTGGAGACACACACTGGCATAATTACCCATTAAAACTTTAGATTTGCTTCAGGATATTCTTAAGGCAGTAACACTAATTACCAAAAATACTATTTTCAGAGATCATGGACCAGGCACTAGGTTTAGCTCTTTTAAGTTCATTTTTTACATTTAACCATACACTCAATGAAGGTAGGTATTATCTCCATTTTACTTTCCTAGTGCCCACCCCACCAAGGAGTTAGGTAAAAACAAGTTTTTAATTGGACAGAATTTAGGGCAGAGAATTTTGATTGGAAGAAGTTACTTTATTTTCAGTAACACTAGTAAAATTCAACAATCCTTCATTATAGACAGCAAACCACAAATGGTATACACAGTACTTCTATCATCAAAAAAAAAAAATCACAATTTTAACATCAGATTACTGTTGCCAAGTATTTTAAAATACCATCTATGTATCACTTCAAAGTTAGACATCAGACCCACCACCAGCCTCCTCTGTTTAAGGCACATTTACTAAATCAAATGTATTATTTTGCTATTTCCAATGTAATGTTTATTTCTACATATTCAATGCATATGAAATCAACATTCTACGGGGGTTAGTTGGCATCACCAAACTACTGACAGATAGCATTGACATAAGAGTAAAAGTCCCAAATAACTTGCCCAAGCTCACAAAATTCAAGTTTCTAATTTTTTTACTGATTTAAAAATTTAAAGGTGTAATAGAAGATTGAATCAAAATAGAAAATTTATCAGCGCTCCTTCTACGTTAAGTATGTATCTTAAAGAATGTTAACTCATTTGATAGAATGCATGGACCAACACAACGTATTTTAAAAAATTACCTTGCAACCTTCAGATACAATTAGAATTCTTTCCCAATTATAAACCCTTTAACCGCAATGGCATAGTGAAATTTAACCATTTTGACTCCTTTGAAGTATTTTTAAAGCTGTCAACACCCTTGTATGTTACTTATCCATTACTTATCAATAAAGTTTATTAGTTGGATATGGATGAATTCCTATTTCCTAGCTGATTTTCAGTACTGTGCCCATTTAACTTCTACCACATACATGAAGGCAATTCTCAATGCACCTTTGCCATTACCAGTCTGAAAACGTGATGGGCAAGCTACCTACTACCTTACTCTCTTAATCCTTGTTACTTTTTAATTCTAAGTCAACCTAATATTAACAGGATCCCATTTTTTGCAAAATTAACACTGATCATCAAAAATTTGTCTGTGATGAGTACATGTAGGATTCTAATTTTTCTTCTTTGCCTAGTTTCAATTAATATTTTCATTTGGAGAAAACATACTTATTTTGGTGGAAATGAAAGAGTTTTGGATTCAAGTATTAACTGGAATTATAAAGTACTTACAGCTACAGAATATAAAACCACTGCATGTAATATAACCAGTGTTGAGTACAAACAAAATGTGTTGCAATCCTATTGACAGCTAAAAGTCCCATATGGACTCAATTCAAATTATTTCACTTACCATGTTAACAGCTGTTAATACTAAGAATCCACATAACTTGTGTTATATTTTTATGTCACATTTATCAAAATCCTAACTCAAAAACTGTTCAAACTTTTTAACAGATGACTATTTGGTTTAAGTTGCAACACTGTAGTTTAAAACTTGATCTCATGAAAGCTTCTGCTCAACCCACCATCATAGCATGAAATTTCAACCAATCCAATGCCTTTAGGAAACCTAGTATTTCCAAGGTGTGGAAGGAAGGAGTCCCCTTTTCATCCTCCCAAACTGTTTTTCACTTGCTCAAGTATCCTTAACTACATGCGTGCCCCCAACCCCCCACCCCCAATAAATCACTGATACCTCACCTATCACCCAAGTATGTACATATTGTTTTTCAAGACTTAAATCCTTAAATGGCAGTAAGCTTTGTTTAAGATATTTTTCCATGCCTATTTCCCAGGTCAATGTTTTCCAGTGAATAGAACCCACTTTTCCAAGTTTCCTGTTGTTAGTAAAGTATGTCATATTCACCTATAGCATTTGAGTTACACGGACATTGTGAAGTGACAAAAACCACACACACATTTCTAAAAATATTTTAATGAAAAAGTTAGCTTTCTGTAAACATTTCATTATCCTACAAATGAAACATTTGAATCCATTGCAGACCACCTCTTAAGTCTTAAAAATCAAAACATTGAAATAGAAAATTTCGAATACTCATAGGCTAATATATTACCTCTGCACATTAGCATGCTTTTCCCCTATACTTTGTGACATAATTACTGGAAATCTAAGATACTGTTATTAACTAGAACTGTTTCAAATTGTGACTTCTATATTGGAACTCCTCAAACCAAGTGTATCCCAATTGTTTAGTTCCTTAACAAATGGTCTTTATTACCAAATTTTATTCATTAGGACATGGGTGTAAAGGTAGGATTTTTTTTTTGCTTGTTTTTAAAACGTGAAAAGCAGTAACCCCTTGAGTTGCTTTGACAATGTAAATAAGTTTGCCTTGACCATTTCCCTTATGAACTTTGTTTATTGGTGCTATGACTTAAGGGCATCACATTTTTCAATAATGACAGTGTTAACTCCATTTAAATTAAATCACTTTATTTCATAAAAAAATTAGACTGAAAAGAACGCCTTTAAAAAAAGAAAATGTTTAGCTTAGGAAATTTGCTTCACTAAAACTATGCTAGAAATAAAATTCATCAAAATAATTGCCTTGCTTTTAATACTTCATTCTAAAGTGGTGTAGAAATTTAGTTCTGGTTTAGATAGCCAGCCAGTCATTTTGTGAGAATAAACTGTGGCAAACTTACTCCTATTTATGTACGAATTTCATTTGTTTATAATTTAGAAACTAGTTTCATTTTCAGCATCTATCCCCAAGTGTTGTTCTTAAATTGTCAAATTTCAATTTTTAACAAGCCCTTATGAAATCAGCAACTGATTTGCACAGAAATTAAGAGTTTAATTATTCTTTGGGAAGTTGTCTTTTAAAAGGGAACATTAGAATAACTAGATCCCCACTGCTTCTGGTTAACAGGTTAAATCTCACACACACACACACACACACACACACACACACACACAACAACCCTAAAAAGAACCAAATATTTATGCCATTAATCTAAATAACTCCCTGATTTTATATGCAAGAGAATTTATATATGAGGCCACTTGAATGAAGACCATTTTTATATTTGTATCAATCTGGCAATTTAAAAATTCATCCCAAGGTTTTCCCTAGAACGAGGACTGGCAGGCTTAATGTTTCTGTTAAACTAAATCATGCTTATTACAAAACTGCCAAATTTGAGGTCACTCCCTTTCTCATCAAAAACTGACTTTACCCTAAAGACACCAACAATGAATTATGTACATGAGGCCACACGTCACTCAACATGAACACTCATGATTATTTGCAGGAAAGTTTTAAAAACTGTTTAAAACGTTTTGGATGTGGTTCCAAAATCAAGTTTCAGCTGAACAATTTTACTAATGTACCTACTAGTTTTAAATGTGTAATATAAATTTGTAGGGAAACAAATGGTGTCATCAGGTTTTACTGTGAGCTACAAACCTTACCCAGCCAGAAACCTTCGTATTTAAGATGGTAGGAAAGACATTCCTCATTTAGGCAAGAAGGGTTCTCATTCAACCTGCAAATCAAAAAGATTACTCTTACCTTGCTTTACAAAAAAGTACTCTTTTAATAAGTGAAAAATTTCAAATTCAAGCCTTACCTAATGCTTATTGCCCTTCCTTGCAGGTCTAAATGCTAGACCTAGTGACTGTGGCAACTATCTCTCATTGATGTTCCAAAAGGCGAAGATCTCCTTCCTGCTAGACTTTCTTCGATATTTCAGTTGTAATAAGCAGATTTAACTAGCTTTTGAAAAGTTGCTCACTATCACCATAGTATCTTATGCCTTCACTTCTCAGTTGAAGCTCTTGCTGCTGCCTTGTCATTCTTTATTTATGCTGACTTGTCCATACTCAAAAGGCTGCTGAAGTCCTGTCTTAGTGAGTCTCCTTTGATCCACACTGTGCTCAAACAGCACATCTTAGGTCCTTTAAAGCTGGTTAAATCGCTCTCCTCATGGCTTACTTTTCCACTGTTCACAAGAACTAAGCTAAATACAACTTATAAACAGGTCACATACACAGATTTCACCTGCTTATAGGTTGCAAACATCAACTTACTGAAAATATATTTCACTATTAAACTAGTTCCAGAACATAAGAAAGTTTGTTAACAGTACAATTAACTTCATATGCCATTAAAGGATACTGTCAAGGTTGTGTCAAACAATTTCACAAAATAGAAACAGGAAATGTTAACCACCCCCATTCCTTCAACCTTTATTATATGAATAAAAGAACTTTAGACAATTTAGCTCAATTTTAATAAAATGTTTCCCAAGCATTATTTTGACCAGGTACCCAGGTTTAAGTTATAAACATTGACAGTGTCCATTTATATAACCACACTTGAAGTTGTAAAGACTTAACCATTTTCTAATATTTGCCTATTTTCTACGCTGCTTTATTCACATACGTCCATTAACAAATGGCATGTTGTCTGTTACATTTATTGGTTTGTGAGTGTTTTCTGGAAAACTGCAGCATCTGTGAAGACCGATTTCCATGCTGGCATTGCATGCATCCAAATATTAATGCACAGAGGCACAGAATTAGAGCAACAAGAGAGCATATGCAAACACTAGCACGCCCAACTCCCCTTTTTATTGCTTGTTTTTGCTTAGTACTTCTTAAAACAAAAATAAGAACCTTGAATTCAATGTTCAACTGCCAAAGAAATAACAACAGCAGGGCACATACTTAGGGCTTGAATTAAATTGTGAGCACTAGGCTGGCGCAAAACAGTAGACATTGGTTTATATATATAATTATATATATGTATGACCTTATCATCTAAAAATCTTCTCATCCCGGGTCTTCCAAACAAATTAGCTCATACCAACATGATTTAGGTTCAAGCATACACAGAGAAATGACAGTGTGTTCTTTGGGATTTTGATTAAGAACTCAGACAATCCAAATTTGAATTCAGATCTTTGGGAAATGGGAAGCTTGTACTAAGCAACTGTGGTACACTTCTGCATTATGTCATTTGGGCCAATTATATCTAGACTGTCCTTGGTTTCATCCAGGAAAATGTAGAGGGTACAAACAGGAAAGCATGCCAGCCAGTTAAGGGTTCAACAATGCATGATTTTTATTCTCTTGCTTTGAGAGCGTGTATCAAAAAAAAGTTAAACCAAGGAAAATAACGAGAGATTTATGGGCCTCTTGTGCTTTAAAAAGGAAAAAAAAGGTAGCCACCAATTTGCTCAGATACAGCAGGCTTAGTGGTCCTATATTTTGAAAAGTTTTAAAAAATGGTTTTTAATGGAAGAGGAAAGGAAAAACATTCCACTACCCCTTTCCAGAATTTAAACAGAGGGCAGCAGACATTCTTTACACCCAAATAAATCTATGGTAGCAGTTCACATGTGACCAAGGTGAATGTAGAATGGAGATGTTCTAAACACAGCTCAGACTCTCAGCAAAGCCAACACACTAAAACCATGATTACATTTGGAAAGAAAATGCACAAAAACCAAGTAGGAATTTTGAGTTTTCATTTGAAGGTAAATCTTAATGTCATCAAAGTCACAAATATGCTAATTTAAATACCCAATTCTATTTATCTAAAACACACATTGCAAACATACAAATATCTATTCTCTCCACATGTCAGAGCCCATTCATTTCATGGTTTGGAAATGGGGAGAATAGATTCCCCTTAAATTGCAAGTCAGTAGGTGTTTCTTTACAGTTAACTTTAGCAAAATTCATACAAAATAGTGATTAACAATGATCTTCTTTACTTGTTAACTCACAAGGAAACACCTTCAAAACTGCATTTTGTTAAAGTTTCTGTACTAAAATGTAGAAAAACTGAACTACACAAATATTGAAAAGTTAAAAATTCCTTAATTTTTTATTCCTGGTACCACTACCACAATTTACAGGGCAATATACCTGATGTAATGAAAAGAAAAAGAAAAAGACAAAGCTACAACAGATAAAAGACCTCAGGAATGTACATCTAATTGACACTACATTGCATTAATCAATAGCTGCACTTTTTGCAAACTGTGGCTATGACAGTCCTGAACAAGAAGGGTTTCCTGTTTAAGCTGCAGTAACTTTTCTGACTATGGATCATCGTTCCTCCTGTGGCAGATTTTTACAGTTCCTCTAATGCATTTGGGACGACTGTCTCAAAGTAACCTGCAGCTTTCCTGACAACTCCTCGCTCTCTCTCCTGCTAAGAACTGTAGCCTGTTGAATAATACAGGATAAAAAAATTATTACACTCAGTGAACAGTTCCACATATGCTTTATCATCATGTTAAAAATTTAAATTATACCTACCCTTTTCTGCTGAGTTTTAGAACCTTCTGCTACCATATCCACCACTTCCACCACCAGATCCATAACCACCTGGAAATATGCAGGTAGAGAGTTTTAAAAGAAATATGATACACAAGTTTGTAAATTAAAAAGTTCTAAAAAGTTTTAATAAAAATTATTTACCACCATAGGGGCTGCCCGAGCTTCTTCCACCAAAACTGCCCCCCTTCATGGGTCCATAATTTGATTGCTGTTGTCCACTGTAATTTCCAAAATCATTATAGTTTCCACCTCCACCATAGTTACCTGAAATTACAAAGGTTTTTACTTGTGGCTGATTTATACAATTACTTCCTCTTCTAATATACATATATCATCTTAACAATCATGACAGCATACTCTACAACACTAACTTGCAACTCCTTGAAAAATGATTTGACAACTATCAAATTCTCTCCACCACATACTGAGGCCCACTAGCAACCTCAGACATGGGTAAGGAATGAAAAAGAGTAAAAAATGGTCCCAAGAGCATGTATCTAGACTAGACAGCTCATATTTTGTTTATATTTGATGCTAAACTCCAGCACATTCTCTCCTTCATACTACTAACACCATCAAAATTGTCAGTTTGATTCACTCTAATTCTGATGTAGTACAATTTTTTAAAAAAAATATATTTTATTGATTTTTTACAAAGAGGAAGGGAGAGGGATAGAGAGTTAGAAACATTGATGAGAGAGAAAACATCCATCAGCTGCCTCCTGCACACCTCCTACTGGGGATGTGCCCGCAACCAAGGTACATGCCCTTGACCGGAATTGAGCCTGGGACCTTTCAGTCCGCAGGCCGACGCTCTATCCACTGAGCCAAACTGATTAGGGCTGATGTAGTACAACTTTTAAGTCAATGATAGAAGTACTCTAAATTAATTTAATAAAAATCTTCTATTGTTGATACATTAATAGTCCAAAATGCAGTACATTTGTAACAAAGCTCTTTAGTGTCATGCAGTAATATAATGCAGTCTTGCTTATAGTCTGCAATGTATCTTTTTTTTTTTGCAATGTATCTTTGACACAGTGAGATTTAAAGTGCTTTCCTCATTTAAAGCCCAGTTGACACCCTCTTCATTTCAACAATTTACAATTCCCATTTGTCCAGTTTAAAATTGCTTAGTGTTAGTAAAATCCTAATTACTGATAAACACCCATTTCAAGTACAAAATAGAGTTGAATACATTTTACCAATTTACTAAATAAGCACAATAAAAAAATTCAGTTCAATTACCCATCAATTAAGTAATTTCTGATTTTACAAATCATGAAATTTGACCAAATGCTACGTTTTAACACTTTTAAACATCTATAATGGAACTATAAACAATGAACATTTAAAACGAATGAAAACTTACCGCCAAAATTTCCCCCTTCATTGTAACCATCGTATCCACCACCGCCACCATATCCACCACCTTGGTTTCCATATCCTGGTCCACCACCACCACCATAGCCTCCTCTACTACTATAACCAGGACCACCGCCATAGTTGCCACCTAAAAAAAAAAAAATTGGGTCACAAAAACAAATATATAACTGAACTCTAGTTTGTATTACATTTAGACCACTGGAAAGTAAGTCAATGAATTGACTTAGTACCAAAGCTTGGTTAACAGAGCCAAGAAATCTGGGCTAGTAAGAATTTAACATAAATGCTTAAATATATTTTAGTATTAAAATTTTTTTTTTTAATTCTTTAAATTTCACTAAGGAAAATAGTGAAGTCTCCTAAGATAGTACGCCAGCTCAACTAACTAGTACAATAAACATAACTGGCCAAAAATAATTAGCTACTGTTAAATCCTTAGGGGGAAATAAGTTTAAGTCTTCTATATTAGTTTAGATGCATACTTTAGCCATCAAGCCATTCAATTTTGACTGAAACTAGAAAAATAAACACACTTAATTGTCTATAAAGCCAGGAAACAAAATATCAAATTTTAAAAAAACTTACCATCACCTCCAAATCCATTATATCCACCATCACCTCCACCATAACTACCTCTGCTGCCACCTCCACCACCGTAGCCTCCTGAGGAAAAGCAAGGTATGAATTTAAAAAGTGTAACATTCAGCTAACCAATAAATTTTAGGAAGACACATACTTAGAAATAAGATAATCATCCTACCTCTTCCACCAAAGTTTCCACCACGGCCAAAGTTACCTCCACCACCTCCAAAGTTTCCTCCCCGACCCATGAAATTGCCAGATCCACCTCCACGGCCTTTAACACAGGCAAGGAAGATCTTAAGAATCTTACAGACACCACTCACGTTTATTGTTTAAGTATGTACGGTATTACTCACCTCTTTGTGATCCAGCAGACTGCATTTCTTGTTTGGAAAGGGCCTTTTTCACTTCACAATTATGCCCATTAATAGTGTGGTATTTCTGAACTAAATTTTTTTTAAATCAAACAAACAAAAGTTACTTGGGGTTTGAAAAAGCACATATAAATGATATCTTGCAGCACTACACATAACATTAAATATCTAGGATGTTACCGTTTATTTCTTGATTCAGATGCTGGTTACATAAGTGTAGTCACTTTATGAAAACTGAACCATACACTTTATGCACAATACAGTTTAAGTAGTTCAGCAAATTTAGTGTAGAACAAAAAAGCCATTTCTGCTTTCTTATTCAACTTGCTACTTACCAACAATTTTATCAACTGTATCATGATCATCAAAAGTTACAAAAGCAAATCCTCTTTTTTTCCCACTCTGCCTGTCCTCCATAACTTCTATGGTTTCAATTTTGCCATACTTTTCAAAGTAGTCTCTCAAATTATATTCTTCTGTATCTTCTTTAATACCACCAACAAAAATTTTCTTCACTGTTAGATGGGCACCAGGCTTTACAGAATCCTACAAGAAATATGCAAGTTAAAAAAAGACACAAATCTTTACAACAATTTCACATTCTACAACATGGTATTAAAATACCTCTCTAGAAACAGCTCTCTTTGGTTCTACTACACGCCCATCAACCTTGTGTGGTCGAGCACACATTGCTGCATCCACCTCTTCAACACAAGAGTAAGTCACAAAACCAAAGCCCCGGGAACGTTTTGTTTGGGGGTCTCTCATCACCTACAAAATAAAGTTTTAAACCATTGAAACACTCCTCCACAAGTCTTCCACCTCTTTCTAAAAACCCCTTTTTTGTCCTTTAGTAACTTACCACACAATCTGTGAGTGTGCCCCATTTCTCAAAATGTTCTCTTAAACTGTCATCTGTAGTTTCAAAGCTCAGACCACCAATGAACAGTTTTCTCAACTGCTCTGGTTCCTTAGGATCATGGCCCTGAGAAAATAAACCATATCTTTTAGTGAACTGCTAAGAGGCACAAGCCTTTTACTTTGCTACAAATAAACTCAGTATCAAATTCTGTACCATTATCACTTTGTCCAGTTAAAATTTGGAGTAGGATCATACAAATCACATCAACTTAATAAAGGAACTAAAATACCAAGAAAACCTATAAACAGCCTTTTAAATGCCAACATCACTCCAACTACATTTTAGTCCAAGGGAATCCCAAAATCAAAAGTCCTGTAACTTTTAAGCTACAAAAGGGCCTGGGAATAGATTATTTCAGGTGCTGCTGCTAAGAACCCTAAGTATTGTAGAAGCACTTTTCCATCCATGCCATTTCTTCTCATGCCAAGCATTTCATTTTAACCAAAGCTGTGAGGTACAACGTAAAAGTCTTGGGTGGTATTTCTGAGAAATGGAAAAATCTTCCTTACATTCCCTCTTTAATTCCAACGGTATAAAATAGAAAACTACCATTATCCGGAACATTTAAGATCTTACTTCCTGACATCATTGTCAGTGTGGCTCAAATTATTTTTTAAAAGGGGAATTCACGCCACTGTTCCCACCCCCCCTGAAAAAACTCTTTAAAAAATCCACCATGTATCTTGACAGTTTTTGATAACCAGGTTATGTGCTGCAAAAATTACCTATGTGCACTTGTATGTATCACATAGCAAAATTTTCAAATACATCTTGTAAGGTCACAAAAAGGGCAAGCTGGATTTAAGTATAAAGCTTATTGCTTGAAAAGAATGAGATTCTCCTTAAAGATGTGGACTGAGCTATTTTACAATTTAACCAGCTCTTTAATAAATTACATGAATTGCCATTTAGTCCATGCATTAAGATATCGTTCATCCCAAGGCCTTACATACAGGGGCTCACATTTACATTCTAATGTCTTCATGTGTCTTCTAAAGGTACAGTTGTTAAGGCAAATAATACGAAGAGACTGTCACAGGCTAGAAAAAAATGTTAAATGATTAATAGCCTACAGCATTAATTCTCTTATCTTTTCGAGTCCTGGTTAAGTGCATTTAATTAGCAACACCAAAATGACTTAAAAAAAAAAAAAACACAAACTATGCCTCACATAAAATTATCTCAAGCACATGAAAAATGCAACTGTGGTTGCAGTCCTCTAAAATAAAAATCCCAAAACTAACCAAAGCCATGGGAAAAAAAGATTAAAAAATGTTTTAAGTTCCTATTGTACAATGGCGCGAAGATATGTATAGTTTTAAGTACTTTAGCAAGAACACATCAGGAAGTATTACATAGCAGCAAACTTTTTAAAAATTTATCTTCAACTGGATGCTGCGAAAAAAAAAAATAGATTTTATTTTCTTTCGTCTGTCAGGCCTAGAAATGTGCCAGCCTAAGTTCAGAAAAGGCTCTGCGCCCAAGCTTCGGGGCCATTTGCGGCATTTTCTGCCCGGCCGCCTCCTCTCTCTCCCTTCCAATCTCGCGCTCTTTCCCGGCGGCGGAATCAGGCGGCGGCCATTGCGGGCCAATGCGCCATTTCGTAACGCGGCGGCGGATCAATGTCAATGTGGCCGCCGCCCGCCTGCTCGCTCTCCCGGATGTGCCTGGTCGTCCCCTCCCCTCCCCCACCGCCTCCTCCCAACCGCTCCCGCCCAGGCCCGCCATGCCTCCCTCGGCCTTAAATCCGAGGCCGCGCGCCCGGCGGGCCGGCTCCCCTCCGGAGGGCTCCCCAGCCACGCCGCGCCTCCGAAAGGCCACCTGTGCAGCCGAAGAAGGAAGCGAGGCGGGCGGGAGGCCCCGAGGAGGTCTCCGAGGCCCGCTCCCTTCCCCCTCCCACCGCCCGTCTCAACGCAGAGCGCGGGACCGCCGACCCGGCCACCCGGCCTCCCCGCTCCCATCGAGCCAGGCCTCCCACGCCGGCCACTACCCATCAACCCCCCGCTCTCCCCCTAATACCTCCTCCCCCCGGCGGCGGCGGCGACGGCCGGAGTCGGGCTGGGGGCGACCGGGCGGCGGTTTTACCTCCATTTTGAGACCGGACTCGCCTCTTCCAACTCGAGTTCAATATGGGACCGAGAGGAAGAGGCGGGGCCAGCCGTCACGTGACGCGCTTTCCGCGCGCCGCCGACCTGGTGGAGGAGGGGCGAGTTACGCGAGGGGCGTGGCTAACTGGGCGCAAAGAGGGACTGGACGAGCGGATTGGCGGGCAGAGAGCGGAGGCGTGGCAGGTCGCGGGAGCGCGCGCGCCTCTTCAACTTCCAGTGCGGCGCCGCCCTTGCCGCTGTTCGCGCCCGGGCGGCCGCGGGGACGTCTGCTCGGGCTCGGCCAATGGCGTGCGCACACGTCGGGAGAACGCCGCGTGACCGCGCGTCACCGGAGAAAGAGGCCTTTCCCTTTCTTCTCCTGCTTCTTTCTTCTCCCCCGTGTAGGCCTGTTGGTCTCAATGTCCGAATTAACTCCCCTCCCCGGGCCTGCATGAGCCCACGCTGTTCTCTCCTGTCCTTTAAGGTCCCAAGAAAGACCCCTCGGCCCCTCGGCTTCTCCTCGCGTGTTTCCAAATACAAGCGGCCGGTCTCCGTGCCTGCGGCGCCCGCTGTGGGGGGTCTGCGCTAAAAATCCCTTTGACGCCGACATGTATGAATCACGAGCCTTTGGAAAGGCCTCAAAACGCGGCTCTCACACTGAAATGGTCCCCTTAAGGACCTGCGGCAGGACTGGTCGAGGTCAGTTGCTTCGGCTCCCCCTGATCTCAAATCTGCCGGCACTATTTTCTAACATTTTCCTAGTGACCGAGGAAAGAGCTGAAGCAACTTTTCTTGGGGATGGAGTTTAGGGAATTGAATGATTTACAAGACTTTAAAAGTCGGGTAAGCAAGGTACGCTCCCTAATGGCCAGTAACCTTTTCCTTAGTGCTTCTAACTGTGTTGTGAAGCATAATGAACAAGATCGATTACAGAGTCAAAAACTGGAGATGCATTCCTTTTCCGGCCGAACTAAGTGATTTTAAATCATTTGACCTAAATGAGCTTCAGTTTTAGTATTTTTTAAAATGAAAATGGGGATAAGATTTGGTCATCTCCAACACTGAGGAAACATCAGTTCATCTCTAGACCCATGTTTAAACAAAGGTACTGATGAAAGTGACTATAATTGGCAAGTGTCCCTACCATAAGAAAGATTAGGAATCTAATCAATTATATTGTAAATTGTTTAAAAAACAGTTTGTGTTGACAAATAGGGAATAGTCTGCTTGGGACTTGGGGAAAAAAGGAGCACAAAAAAATAAGAATGTGTTAAGGTTTATTTAGCATTGCCCAAGCAGAACCGGTGTTTCATTTGGCAGACAGGAACAAAAGGCACTTTTTCAGGGCAGAAACCAGTCACCAGTCCTTAATGTAACCTGGATGAAATAACCCTCCGAACTGGCCTCCTGCTGCTGCTCTGATTCCAGTATCACCAGCAAACTGTTCCCTGCTCTGCCTCTCAGGCACGCGGGTACCCAGCAACAACAGGTTGAGACGTCGGGAAATGTCTACCCTTAACATATGAAGGCTCTTGAATTTACTATGAATAGGCATGGATAACTTGATTTCGTTTTTTCTTTCTTTTTTAAAAAAATATATTTTTATTTATTTCAGAGAGGAAGGGAGAGAGAAACATCAATAATGAGAGAGAATCATTGATCCGCCGCCCCCTGCAGGCCCCTGTACTGGGGATCGAGCCCGCAACCTGGGCATGTGCCCTTGACCGGAATGGAATCTGGGGCCCTTCAGTCCGCAGACTGACGCTCTATCCACTGAGCTAAACTGGCTAGGGCGATAACTTGATTTCTGATTCAGTTCTGAGTATGTAGAAAAACGAAAAATTAAAGACCTTAGGAAGATGGTATTCACACCAAAGTACCTGGTGAGAAACTGCAAGGATGATCATGAAAACTGATCACTTGGCTTCACTTTCTGGCATGTTGTCTAGGTGTTTTCTAGCCAATTATTTTTATTTTTTCTAATCAATTATTTTTAATAACTTCTTTCATTATTCTTTCTTCTTTGAATTGCATTAAATTCTGATATTAATTTGAGAAGTGGTGGGGGGGTGGTATACTAAGTACTTCCATCCAGGAACATGAATGTCAGTCCATTTATTCAGATCTTTTGTCCTTCAGTAGAATGTGGATTCCTCCCTTTGGATTCATCCAGATTTGCTGTTCATCCAGACTCTGTGGTGTTTAGACATTAGCTATTTCTTACTTCTACAAAGTTTCTACTCTGAGGACACATGGTAACTCATATAAATATCCCTGTTTAAGTTCTTGACCCTGGTAGACACAAACTTGACCCTTGGCTGCTGTCTGTCCTTGTAGCCCTGGCTCTCTTATAAGTGTATGTGTGTGTGTGAAAAGGTGGGGGGCGGGGGGGAGAGAAAGTACATGGGGGGAGGAACAGGGGACAAGGGTTCTAAGGTGGGATGGAGTAGCAGACAGATTTTATAAATAATCTATATTAGGGCCTCACCTTCTTTCATATCACAACACATGCAGAAAACGTTATTTTGTGTACAGCACACGAGGTTGCATAAACAAAGATTTGGAGACATCTAAATGCTGGCTGGTTAAAAAATTCATAACATTTTCTTTAAATTATATAATTATGTTAAAATAAAATACAATGTATTAGAGAAGATATTAAAAATCATTTTGAATAAAACATTCAAATAAAAAATTTCCACATTTTTTTCATGATCATTTTGAACTTGTTCCTATGAATATATTTTGATATTAAGTTTTATGGTTGAAATGACTTTATGCAGTTTCTGATCTCGACTTTTTAATGATAAACTTCTCATATTCCAAATATTAATTATCAGTAAGGGACTCTGATCGCATAAGTGGGTAATAAAATATTAAAACCATTTTATACCATCATTCAAAACTTACAATTGTAATTATATTTAAAGAATAACAACTCCTTTTCTTTTATTGACAAATGAATTTCAAACTAATAGTACATTTTTATATGAAGATTTCCACGATGAAACTCTAGCCTACATAGTCAACAGCTAGCCTGAGGGCCATTAAAAGAGTTCGTTGTCACAGAGGGATAGAAATAGTCACTAGCCCTGGCTGGGTATCTCAGTTGGTTGGAGCGTGTTGTCCTGATGCATGGGATTGCAGGTTGGTCCTGGTTGGGGCACATAGAGGAACCAGCCAGTGGATGCATAAATAAGTAGAACAACAAATCAATGTTTCTCTCCCCCTTTCTGAGAGAGAGAGAGAGAGAGAGAGAGAGAGAGAGAGAGAGAAAGAAGAAAGAAAAAAAGAAAGAAAGAAGAAAGAAAAAAAGAAAGAAAGGAGAAAGAAAGAAAAAAGAAAGAAGAAAGAAAGAGAAAAATAGTCACTACATGTTAAGACAAATATTATAGGGCAATGCTGGCAGCTGAGCCCACTAGGAACCCCAGTCAATCAAGTCTTCTCTCTCAGTCCCTGACAAATTACCCCTGGAGCTGTGTGCTGTCCCCCTTGGGCACCTAGAACAGAAACTTGTGTATAGGTTCCAGGATGTTTGGTCCATGTTGGGCTTTGCAGATTGTCCATGTGGCAGGAATCCTTGGCCAAGCACAGAGAGCAGAATTTTAAGTGTTGGTTGTTGTTTACAGTGCTTGGCATACGCCCCAGACTATTCTGCACATGCTGCCCTGAGGACCTCTCAACAAGGCTGCTCGTGGACAAAGGTACTGGTCCAGGGGGTTCTGACCTCCCCTGACCCCTCTCAACTGCCTCATTGCAGGAGGGGTCAATTTCTCACCCACATTCAGGACACTAGCATGCCATAGTCCACTAGTTAAGAAGCACTGTCTAGATTGTGTGATTTATTTTATGAGTGAGGAAGCTGTAATGCAGATTAAGGAACTGATTTTTTCCAAGATTAATAGCAAATTGTGACAGATTCAGAACTAAAAGAAAGAGAATATAAATTGAATGGAAATATTTTAGATAGGAGGACAGTAATATTTAGAAGAGAAAAATTGTAATAAACTATAAATTTTGTCATTGCCACTATATTCAGAATATGTCGGTAGCTTTATTTGTCTAAAATCTTGGTTTTTAAATAAGGAGTATATAAAGTAAAACACTAAACAAAAATCTGTTCCCTCAAATCCTATTACACAGCCTGGCTGGCCTGGCTCAGTGGTTGAGCATCAAACCAGGAAGTCACAGTTTGATTCCCCATCAGGACACACATGCCTGGGTTGTGGGCTCAGTCCCCAAATAGGAGGCACGCAGAAGCAACCGATCAATGATTCTCATCATTTATGTTTCTATCTCTCTCTCTCCCTCTTCCTTCTTCTCTGAAATCAATAAAAATATTTTTAAAAATCTTATGACACAGATTTGACCACAGTCAACCACTTAGTATACATGGTGTCCCAAAACAATGTATACACACTGAATAATTATTAATTCCCATGTGTTAAATCTGAAAAGAAACATCAATTGAGCTATCAGTTGTAAAGTGTGTATTTTGGGGGACACTCTATATATTCTTTTACATCTTTTTTCTAGGCCTAATCAATGTTTTAAGTGTGTATGAATCTGTATAACCATATTGGCTACACTTATACAAAAATATATCAACCTATCCAGATCTGAAATTCCTTTTTTACCCTCATTTAACAAACTAATCACTTACCAAACTCTTATTATGTGTTTTGCCATACTAGGTGCTAGAAATTACCATAGTCACACATTATTAAACACTTAACACGTATCTTGCACTGTTCTAAGCACCTTATATTCCTGATCTTATTTAATGCCCCTAATTTACAAATAGGTCCTATTATTCTCATTTTTTAGATGCTGTTAAAAAGAAAAGCCGCAGCCCAATATGGTGTCACTTGGATACCAAACCTAAATTTAATACTTAAGTAATTGTGGTTTTAGCCACTCCCAAGAGTGGAATTTTAAACCAATCAGTCTGGAATTTCCTGACCCACATTAGTGAGGTAATCTGTCTGATAAGACCCTCTGCCTTCCCCTAAGGGAAGATTTCCTTGACTGAAATAATCCACTCTCAACTTAGTCACATCCTCTTTCTGCCTATGAAAACCTTCCATTT